GGGTTTATAGAGGGTTTATAGAGGGTTTATATAGGGTTTATATAGGGTTTTTCTAGGGTTTATTTAGGGTTTACATAGGGTTTATATAGGGTTTATATAGGGTTTATAGGGTTTAGCACAGTGTGTAGACCTGGCAATTAACCCTGGCACCTCCAAAACCTTGAGGCCAAAGCAAGCAGGATGTGCAACCCGAAAGAGCGCCTGGCAGCTAAAGGCCCTAAACCCTTAACCTTAAACCCTAAACCCTAAACCCTAAACCCTAAACCCTAAACCCTAAACCCTAAAAACCCGAAACCCGAGAAGTCAGTGGGAGCTTGTCCGCACGCGCCGCCATGACACCCCGCAGTCCTTGAATATCGCCTATTCAAGCGGAGCTTTCTGAAAGTGCCAAAATGACGGTTTAGGGTTTGGGGTTTGGGGTTTAGGGTTTAGGGTTTAGGGTTTAGGGTTTAGGGTTTAGGGTTTAGGGTTTAGGCAGTCTGCAGTGCGGATGATTTCCGAAGGCTCCTACAGCACATGCCTGCAGACCAGAACACGAGCAGCTGTCCACCGAATCACACTGAACACGCTAGGACGGATTAGGGTTTAGGGTTTAGGGTTTAGGGTTTAGGGTTTAGGGTTTAGGGTTTCGGGTTTAGGGTTTAGGGTTTAGGGTTTAGGGTTTAGGGTTTAGCGGCGATGATTGGAGAGTGTTCCGAGTCTTGAGCCTATCAAACAGCAGCTCCTTTTAACCCACCGCTCTTCCTTCCAACTCCCCCAAAAGCCCTAAAAACACGTAAGCCCTGTATAAACCTTCTAGCACTAGCGCAAAACACACTCTGAAATGGGGAGTCATTCCCTAAACTTTGAGCCCCAAACCCTAAACCCTACACTCTGTTTCTTTCCCTCTCTTTGGGGTGTTGGGTGGAGGGGTCCCAGACGCTACCAGGGCTCGAGGGGCATGAAGAGGGCTTCTTTTCGTCTCCTTCGGAGACTTTTACGTGGAAGGTTAAGGGAAAGTGAAGATCTTTAGGGTTCAGGGTTCAGGGTTTCCTTGGTTCTAGGAGGATCTAGGAGTTATCTAGGATCCCAAGGAGTGGTAAAAGGAATGTTAGGGTTTTGGGGGGTTTAAGGTTAAGATTCTTGCAGACGGTTCTCAGGGTGAGGTGCATGCGGGGGAGCAAACCAGGAAACTGGACATTGTAGTTGTAGCTCCTAAACCCTCTCAACCCTCATAATCCTGCAGGCCCTGCAAAGCCTACAAGCCCTCTAAACCCCCTAAACCCTCTAAAAGCCCTCTGAATCCTCGGAAACCCTCTCAAAAAAAACCCTCTGAAACCCTCTAAACCCCTCTCGCAGCTTCCATGCATCATCGCTCCCCAGAAGTTCTGGGCTCAGGCTCTTATAGCGGCCTAGGAATGTGCATGCTCCGTGGGCGTTCGTGCTACCGGCCCTTGTGCCCCCCGAAAAAAAAGTCGCGCGCAGGATTTGAAACCCGAACCACGCTGCTCTAAACCCTATAGCCCTAAACCCTAAACCCTAGCCCTAAACCCTAGCCCTAAACCCCAAACCCTAAACCCTGAACCCTAAACCCCTTCCCCCCTTCCCATCCCGCGAGGGAGGGCTACCAGAGAGAAGTCCCCATGCGACGTCCCCCTCGGGGGCACCATACCTGAAACCCTAAACCCTAAACCCTAAACCCTAAACCCTAAACCCTAAACCCTAAACCCTAAACCCCATCCACGCTGGGCGCAGGCGCTCCTCGATTTCTACGGGCTGCATGCAGACTTCCAGCAAGTGCTCGGAGCTCGTCAGGGAAATGTTGTGTTTTTTTTGTTCTTTTTTGTTTTTAGGGTTTAGGGTTTAGGGTTTAGTTAGGGTTTAGGGTTTAGGGTTTAGGGTTTAGGGTTTAGGGTTTAGGGTTTAGGGTACCACCCCGGCGCAGCAGCAAAGCGTTCCTAGGAAGTAGCTTGTAACAAACTTGTTTTTCAACGCCGGGGGGAGGGGGGAGTCGAATACCGAAGTCCAAAAAAGCTCTGCAAATCCAACGGGAAGCTGGAATGCTAAACCTCCCCAAAGATGCTCTGGAGCTTCTTTATTCTTTATTCCATGGGCAGAGGTGGCAAATCTTGGTGAGGCTGGGTTGGCGTCTGTTTTGTGGGTGGAACGTAGGTTCAAGGATGGAAATTCAGGGCCTGGTGTTTTACATTCCGGTCATTGTTTCGGCAGAGGACGCGGGGGAAGGGGGGGGGGGGGTCCCAAAAGGGATTCCATGATGGAATAGACTTGTGTAATTGTAAGTTACCTAGACGGACTTTAGTTTTACAACAACCGCCTCCGTCATGGTTGGTACTACTGCGTGTCAAAAACGGAGCAGGGGCGCTAAAGCTGCGTTTCGGGACTTCCTTAACTCAGTCAACCTTGCCAACGTTAAACCCCTAAACCCTAGAAACCCTCGAAAGCCTAGCAACCCCTAAGCACCAAGCTGCTGAAGCTGGTCAGGCTTGGGCCGCTAGGACAGAAAAAAAGAGAGCAAGTGCCCTTCTTCTGTAGGTTTGTTGGGTAGTTGAGGGTTTGAAGGTTTAGGGGTCAGGGGGTTAAGGGTAAGGGGGTTTAGGTCCAGAGTTAGGAAATCTGAACCAAGCCCCAAACGGCATCCTATTGGACCCATCATGAGGTCTGATTTCCTGATCCACGTGGCCCAGACCCGGGGCAAGCTGAAGCGAAATTCAGGCACCCCGTTGTTCGGGGTTTAGGAGTTTGGCTTGCTTCAGGTGAGCTGCGTGTCCATATGAGGTCTATCCAGGCCTTGTATAGCCTTTATTCTGCAAAACGGGTGACTCCTCAACCTGAAACATCCCTGATTGCTGAGGACAGGTTTAGGGTCAAAGCGCTTCGTGATTGGGAGCTGCAGGCTCGTATGGCATGGCTTGTGAACCAGATATAGCTCCTTGTATAGCCCCTGTTGGGTTTAGGGTATGGATTCTGTGAGCTCGAGCGAATACTGCTTGCACACGGTTGACATAGGCACTATATCCTATTGCTTCTTTCATCGGACTAGAGGCCACAGGGGGTTGGGTTGCTTTCTCATTAAACTCCGGAACCCTGAAACCCGATACCAAACCATGAAACCCTCAACCCAAAACCCCTATCTCTGAAACTTTCAACCCACAAACCCACTCCCAAACGACACACCCAAACCCCACAATCCTAAAACCCTGACGAAAGCCTGAACCCCTGAAACCCCTGAAACCCCAAAAACCCTGAGACCCTACAACCCTAAAGCCAAAAGCCCTAAAAACCTAAAACCCTGAAAGCCCTGAAAGCCCTAAACCCCTAAACCCTATATACCCGAAACCCTAAACCCTAAACCCCAAACCCCAAACCCTAAACCCTAAACCCTAAACCCTAAACCCTAAACCCCTCGCAGCTGGCGGCGGTGCCGGTTTGGACATCCCCTCGGCTGCCCGGGCTGTGATCACGGACTGGACGACAGGCCGAGCTGTTTAGGGTTTAGGGTTTAGGGTTTAGGGTTTAGGGTTTAGGGTTTAGGGTTTAGGGTTTAGGGTTTCATTAGGGTTTAGGGTTTGGTTTCGGAAGGTTTTGGGGGTTTTGTTAGGGGTTTAGTGTAGGGTTTTAGAGTTTATAAGGTTTGCAGGGGTTAAGGGTTAAAAAAGAGGGTGGAAGGTTTCTAGGGCTTTTTGGGTTTCTAGAGTGTTTTGGGTTTCTTAGAGCATCTAGGGCCTCAGATTTAGCCTTTAGGGGTTAGGGTTTAGAGGGTTCTGATGCGAGGTTGCCCGGCAGACCAGAAAACTAAGTCCTCTCAAGATGCTGCGATGAAAGCCTTCAACAACAGCACCGAGCCCCCAAAGGCCCATGAAAACGTCCACGCACATGATGCCCTTCGCCACCCCCTGACGCAGGAAAGTTCCGCTACTACGCCCAGAGCTTATTCCTGCACAAACTGCCTCCTCAACCCTAGCACCTACTCAGCTTCCTTCGCTCATGACCCGTGCGTCTAGGGAGGATCGGATTCTTGTCTAGAGTTGAGCTTTTCGGGTGCAGGGTCGGAGAAGGGCTTTCGAGTGCTTAAGGCTTCGTGACCTTGCTCAGGGTGTAGGGCTTGAGCTCGAGCGCGCACACAGTTGGAACAAAGTTTGTGCACGGAAAGACACGCAGTAGAAGCAAACCTGTACACAGAAAGCACCCCGCTTGACAACAGAAGAGACCAGCCAGTCGAACCTCGACCCCTAAAGCACCAAAACAAATGTGGGAACTTCGGGGGGAGGAGCGTTCTGGAGGGGAGGGCGGATGGGGACTACGAAATTCATTCATGATCCATGTAGAATATGTAGCCCCGAGAACCATCCCAAAGGCGAACGTGAAGTTCCCCCCCTTAGGACACTGGACAAGTAGGACCCCTTTGACAGCCCTCAGGTTCCCTCCTTCAGTTAAACTTCGCAATCCCTAAGTTACCCTAAACTTAGGGTTTAGGGTTTAGGGTTTAGGGTTTAGGGTTTAGGGTTTAGGGTGTAGGGTTTAGGGTTTAGGGTGAATCATCAGATCTGCCGGCTCTCACCCGCAGATCCGTCAAATCTCGAAGGATCCCCGACATGAGGTCCTGCCACCCTCCGCCTCCAGCACAGACGCCGCTGCGGCAGAGGCGCAAGGGACGAAGGTGTTGGGTCCATTTAGGGTTCAGGGTTTAGGGTTTAGGGTTTAGGGTTTAGGGTTTAGGGTTTAGGGTTTAGGGTTTAGGGTTTACTGTATACGTTGTTTCCGGTTGTGTGAGTTATAATCTACTTAGGGTCTACTTATGTTAAGTAGGTTACACTAGTTATAACCGAAGTTATAAGTAAGACCTAAGTAGATCCTAAGTAGTTTTGCTTTTTTGTTTTTGCACAGTTACCAAAGTTGTCGAGGCGAGTGTGGGAAAAGAAATGATGGTTTTCCCGGAGCAGAAGAGCACAAGAGCGTTTGGCATGCTTCAGAAAATGCCAACTTTTTCTCAGTGCAGGCACATGAGGCAATCTCCATCGCAACGCCACCAGGACGGCAACATCCAGGGGTCCTGCTGGCAAGGCTTGACCAGAGCAGTTTCGCCCGTGTTTCGCCACCGGCTGCCCCCAACTTTCGAGAGAGACGACTGAAGCAGCGTTTCTTGGCTTGCCGGCAAAGTAAACTGGGCAGCGTCGATGCTGGCCATGGCTTGAGCAACTAGAAAGAAGCGGTAAGAGTAGCTTGGAGGGGACTCGGGCTGCAGCGGCTGCGGCGGGGAAGCGAGCGAGAAAGGCAGGACTGGAGGCAAGCAAGCAGCTGAAGCAGAAGGGAAAAAACCTTGATTTTTCACGTTTCGATGCAAACACCGGGCCGACACGCGGCCGACAGGCCTCCGACACCAAATCCCCGCCCTGGCGAGCTGGCCGACAGGCCGACAGGCCAAACTGCGCGAAAACGTATGGTTTCGTGTGTCCGGCCGACACGCGGCCGACATGAGCCATTGGCGCTGCGTAACCGGGCCGACAATGGCCGACAAAGGCCGACAACAGGAAGGTTCGTGAAAACACAGGATTTTTTTAGAGGAAATGTTAGGAGCAAGGGTTGCTTCTGAGAGGGCTACAGGTTCAGCGGCCAAGCTATATCAGCTCGGTTATACTTGAGGTCCGGTGTGCTGTGGAAGCTTCGCGGACCGAGTCGGAGAAGGGCTGGCTGGATCCTGGCCCATTCACGAATGGTGCCAAAGGTGAGTGTGCGACTAAGCATAGTTGGGCGCAAGAAAAAATCCTGCTCAAGAGGCAGCCTGCATGGCGAGAACACCCACTGGCGTGAGTATGTCTCCAGCTCTAGCCGTCTGCTCTCCACCCTTGCCAAGTTATATCTCCGTCTGGCATCCATGATGCACGAGCCAAAAAGCTGAGGCTCATGCAGCACACATATAAAATCAAAATGCTGAAAAAACACAAATTCATAAGTAGAACCTAAGTTAAACATAACTGAAACCTAACTAGCGTATAACTAAACATATACTACTTATATAACTAGCTCATAAACCCAGTAAATAACCTATAACTGACTTCCTACTTATGACCGACTTGCGGCTGTACTTAGCCGGGTTATAACCCATGTTAGCAAGGTTATAACCAGGGTTATAACTCAACCAAACCAATCAACCTATACAGTAGGGTTTAGGGTCCACAGGCTTTGGGCGGCTCCAGGAAGGCCCATGGGAGAGCTTCAGAGGATCTCGTGTAGGAACTAAGTCTGACACTACCCGAAACCCGAAACCCTCAAGAGGGATTATACTCGGGGGTTACTCTAAACCCCATTAAGGACTGTTAGTATAAGCCCTGGACCCTAAATCCTAAATCCTAAGCCGTAAACCCTAAACCCCAAACCCCAAACCCTAAACCCTAAACCCTAAACCCTAAACCCTAAACCCTAAACCCTAAACCCTAAACCCTAAACCCTACAAAGCGAAGCCCTTCACACCGAAGCCCTTGCAAACAAAACCAACTCCTGAAGCGCAGGCAGAGACGGCGGAGGTGGTCACTTCCCTGGTGGGGGAGCCCAAGCACAGAAGGAGAAAAGGTGGCTCAAAGGTTTTTAGGGTTTAGGGTTTAGGGTTTAGGGTTTAGGGTTTAGGGTTTGGGGTTCAGGGTTCAGGGTTCAGGGTTCAGGGTTAGGGTTTGGGTGTTTCGGGTTTAGGGTTTTTTGTGGGGCTTTGGGCGGGAGTTTCAGCCTTCAGGGGGCAGCTGAGGGCAGGCAAGTCTCGGATGTGCTGTGTTTGGCTGAACCCTGAAACCCAGAGCTTGGCTTGGGCGTGGGCGATTCTTCGGCCGTCCTGCGGGCAGGGCTTCAAACTATTCAAACCCATGCCACCAACATTTTCCCCTTGCTGAGGGCCATTTCAGGGTAGTTCGGCCGTTAAGCTTCATTGAGGGGGGGTGCGCTTGGGGGGTGAGGGTAACCCAATAAAAGCCCGGAGAAGCGGACCTCCCTCGAAATCTCCACACCCAGGCCCCGGCCCTCGACATCGATGCGCTCTTCAGCGGCCAAGGACGCGGCCTCGGCAGGAAAAGACCTGCAGCTGTAATACTTTAAGGGATTAGGGTCTCGAGCTCGGGGAATTCTAGCCTGACATCGATGTCTCTCAGTTTGTTTGGATGCCTTCCGGCATTCCTAAATTGAAAGCCCTAAGCTAAACGGTAAACCAAGCCAGGAAGAAAAGGCAAGAAAAGGCAAAAAGATGAGCAAATGGATCCGGGCACCCTAGAGCTGACAGGTCGTGGGCCAGAGGTCCTGGGCGCACCCAAGGAGGACTGCGGCATCTCTCTACCTGCGTTTCAAAAAAAAGTTTGGCCTGGGACCATCTCTACCTGACTAGTCGTACTAATTATGGGGTAGTTGCTACTAGACTGTAGGTAAATAGAGTCCCAGGGAAGAGTCTGGATGTTCCACTTCCGTGCGTTGTTTGGTTTACTTCGGCAGGGGAATTGGGGGACTGGGGAGAGGGAGAAGTCTTGTGCATGTTGTTGCAGGCGTTGGCGGGGGGGAGGGAGAGTCAGGGCTGTAGGACTATTCAGGGCTTGGCTGCGGCTGAGGCTCGTGGGTGTCTGCCCTGGAATCAGGACGATGAGGATGACGACATGGGCTTGGACCTCAGCTGAGCCAGGCGAAGATGTAAGGGCTACAACTTGCACAGAACCCCAGGATTTAGGGTTTAGGGCTTCGGATTTGGGGTTTAGGGTTTAAACCCTAAGCCCAAAAAATGCGTTACTCTCTGTGGCTTTTGGATTGGGACCAGGGTCGGGTCCTCAGCAAATCTTGGCAGCGCCCAGAAGCCCCAAAGCCCTACGTGCTGCCTAAATCACCCAAGCACATAGTAGCTCCGCATTCCAGCCAACGCTTGCACATCCGCAAGCGATGCCCGCCTTGATGAGGTGGCTCTTCGCACGGAGGGGCCGTGGAGGCACAACGAGATTTAGGGCACATGTTTCAGGGTTGAGAGTTGAGGGCTTTTGGGTTGCCTAGACCCGGAACCCTGCTTGAGGGAGGGGGGGGGGGGATGGAGATGGAGAAGGGAGGTAGGGACTTGTACTTAGCAACACTTAAAGAAGAGGAAAGGAGGGCCCGAGTGGCAACTGCAGGTGGATGTGGCCGGCATGATGCGGTGATTGCCCTCCAAGAGGATGCCCTCATCGCGCCCCCGCCGGAGAAAGAATGCCCTGCAAGCAGCTGCCATTCGATGGTTTAGGGTTTTTGGGGTGTAGGGGGTCGAATAATTGCGCCCCAAAGCCCTATTCTACTTTTGGGTCTTAAAAGCCACACTTCCCACACCATCCCCAATGAAGTGGTCGTTCGCAGCAATTCCTGCCTATGGCTCTTTCGATATCGGGGTCCCCTTCCGCATCGCAGACCTTCAGCTCAAAGAACCCTTTGCAGCTTGGACTGTTCTGGGGGTTGTCCTACATGATGGCCCCCTTTTCGCAGATCCCCACTATAGCAGATTTCCTCCTGGAGGTTTCAGGGCCCCAAAATGGCCTCGTTCAGAACAGGCCTCCGCGATAGTGGGTTTGGTGGCTCAAGTTTTGTGAAGGGCGCCACCCTAAACCCTATAAACCCAATCAACCCTTTACTGCGACCCGAGTCTTAATCTTTTTTCTGGATCGACCAGTCTTGTGGAAGTCTCGCATCGTTGCTTGGGGCCCCCATCAGCTGCCACGTTTGCTCGAAGTGAACGCGCAGACATCTGCCATTGCTGCCAGACAGGCCCTTAGGGCATATGCTACATATTTAGGAAAGCGCGCCAAAATCGCCAACATCGTCATGGAAAAACCCAACATCGACATATTGAAAATCCTCTGCCCGAGCCCCAAAGACGAAGCTCAGCTAAGCCAAGCGAGTCAGCCAGTTTTTTTGAGCGGGGGTACTTAGGAGTACATGCCGCCACGGATTTTCACGTAGGCCCTGAGATTTCCCTGATTGGGTTTAGGAGGATCATACTCAGGAATACTTTTCAGAGAGCTTGCACTCAGGCCGTCGGGGCCTTAAAGCTCAAGGCATGGATGCCGCTACCAGCGCTTTTTTCACAGACACTGTGAAGCTCAAGCCGAGTAGCCTGGATGCGCCCGGCCCTCAGAACTCGGGATTTACTTCGCCTTCCTTTGGGTGCCCGGAATACAGCTGTCGTGTTCTAAAACATACACCAGGCAAGGTCCGTAATATTGATCAAGTCTGCAATAAGCAAGACGAGTTCGGAGAGTTGAGTCAAGAGGATTGATTTGGGACCTCGGGTTCAGGGATTTGCACCGATGCCTGGCGAAGATTGCCTGCATCTACGGGCGTTCTTGCAACGATCTGTTGTTGCCATGCCCGACCAGCCACGCTCCGGCCACCGCAAGTTGAAAGGTGAGCTGTCGGTGTTCTAGGAGGGTTTAGGGTTCAAGTTTAAGGTTTGGGGTTTAGGGGTTGGGGTTTAGGGATCAGAAAACATCATCGCTGTAGACTATAGGGATCGATGGGTGTTGATGTGTTCATGGCGTGACCGACCAGTTTATCGGTGTGTCGTAGGCAAATCAGCAGAGGCAGCACACATCCGATGGCCAGATTGTGTAGAGAAGCAAGTAGTTCATCGACGAGTACCTTCGTACGCTATCTCATGCTCATGCTGCTGTTGCCATTGCGGTCCCATCTCCACAGCTCTCGGCTGGGAAGTCGATGAGGCGCCTGAGGTCATCCCTTTGGGGGTTCTTCCTTCTGGCAGCGCTCCACGTGAGTCCACGGCCTCCCAGACATCTCACCTTCACATCAAGCTGGAGGCAGACAAGTTCGGGAAGGGTTGCCCGCGATGCGGCCCACAAACACGGCTCTATCCGAGCACAAGCAACAAGGATCTTGTGGAGGAGTGAGGCCGGTTGGCGCCGAGCGTTGCGGATGCTTCAGGAGCTCCAGCCTGATCGGTACGATGTTAGCCGCATGGACTGGAGCTGGTGGCAAGAAAACATCGACAATTCCTCTTCCAAGATCGATGTGACCTGCCAAGAATGCAGCCACCGCTCTTGCAACACCATGTTGCGCAGCCTGCAAAATGGCCAGTCGCCCGGGTGTTTTTGCAACAGAGGCGTGCGCTGGTCCAGCAGTGAAGGGCATGCCCGCTGTCTGGAGTTGCTGAGGAGTCGCTACGGCGAGAGGTACGATGCTAGTTGCATGGACTGGAGCTGGTGGCAAGAGAACGTCTGCAACGCAAGCTCCAAGATAGATGTAACCTGCCAAGAATGCGGCCATCGCTCTCGTGACACATGGTTGATGAGCCTGCAAAATGGCCAGTCGCCTGGGTGCTTTTGCAACCGAGGCGCGCGCTGGTCTAGCAGTGAAGGGCATGCCCGCTGTCTGGAGTTGCTGAGGAGTCGCTACGGCCAGAGGTACGATGCTAGTTGCATGGACTGGAGCTGGTGGCAAGAGAACGTCTGCAACGCAAGCTCCAAGATAGATGTAACCTGCCAAGAATGCGGCCATCGCTCTCGTGACACATGGTTGCTGAGCCTGCAAAATGGGCAGTCGCCCGGGTGCTTTTGCAACCGAGGCGCGCGCTGGTCCAGCCGGGAAGGGCATGCTCGCTGTCTGGAGATGCTGAGGTGTCGCTACGGCAAGAAGTACGATGCTAGGCGTATGGACTGGAGCTGGTGGCAAGAGAACATCGATAATGCAACTTCCAAGATCGATGTGACCTGCCAAGAATGCGGCCACCGCTCACGCGACACGATGTTGCAGAGCCTGCAGGGTGGCCAATCGCCCGGGTGCCTGTGTTCAAGGAAGACGGAAGGCAAGTTGATGCAGTGGTTGCTTGACAGCTTTGCCAGTTGCACGACCCAGGTGCCGGGCTGCGTGAATCCAAAGAGTCAGCGCAGCCTGCCCTTTGATTTTGGCCTGTCCAACGGCACCATTCTCATTGAGCTGGACGGACAAATTGGCCACTTCGGCCGCGGTTGGGGAGGGGCCGCAGATGACGGAGGAGTGCCGCAACGAGACCTCTTCAAAGAGCAGTGGGCACTACAGGAAGGCAAAACTGTCATCCGATTGCTGCAGGAAGATGTGTATAGGGATTCTTGGAATTGGAAGGGCTTCCTGACAGCGGCCATCCAGCATGCAATTAATGATTCTGTTCCCTGCGTGCTGACGCAGGATGCCCTGCCGTATCGAAATGGCATCTACCGCAAGCTGCGCAGGGACATTCCTTGCCAGGTTGGCAACTTCCAACCTACCCATGATGTGGGTATCCCATACTTGGCCTATGGCGCGAAAAGAGCATCTGTGGCATGGCAAGCCCAGACTGGAAGGTGAGAAGGGTAAGTATACCGAAGGGCTTGACAAGCCTTCCATTTCCTTCTCTGTCTTGGTTCTTTTGCAGCCTTAGCAATCGTAGGGCTTTTGACGCACTCCTCGGCCATCCCATATCTGTCGGCAGTCGGCGGTAGGTCACGCTCCGTCCAGCTACTGCGGTTGTAATGCCACGGGCTGTGCAACTGTGAGGTCCAAATCAGACTTGGCTCACTTCGTGGAGAAGGCCATCCCCAACATCTGGCATGTCAGGATCACAAACACCGGCCCTGTGTCGAGGTTGTGAGCGCATGGAGGTGTAATTTAGTATTCCTTGGGAACCTGGCATGACGACGAAAATTCTCAAACAAAAGAATCGTAGCTCTCTTCGGGTTCACCTGCAGCTGTCAAAAGCTGACACCCCGCAAACCCCTCGATTCCTCAACCAACTCCAAGCACCGAAGGCGCAGTCTAGAGGACTGCGGATTGCGCTGATCACGTCTGGAGGACGCCTCCGTATACGGGGCTCTCTTTGGGTGTAGGGGAGCGCAGGCCTCCGGCGTGCAAATCCTGCCCATCAGCAGTCTTACTCCATAATGATTTCAGTAGGCCGACTACAAGACTTTGGGCTAACCCTTGAAACAGGAACCACTGTCCCTTTGGAGCTGAACACGGTGCGGTTCATCGACAACTTCTCGACGGGCACGCGCGGCGCCCTGTGCACACAGGCCAGGTGCTCCCAAAGCCCAGGGTTTCACTATTCTGCAGCACAAAAGTCCCGGCCCGAAACCCCAAAGTCATGCAAGGGGCTTCCAAGCAGAGCTTTGATGACGATCCACTCGACTACAGAGAGCCAAGTCTCCTCACCTTGAGATCCCTGGCCATCAGGTGCTAGAAGCCCTTATAACTTGAACGCAACCAAGAAATCTAGTAGGTGTCACAAGGCATCCCCAGCCTCCCTCCCCCCCCAAAAAAAAAAAAAAACAAAAGGAAAGCAGGATGCAAGGGTGGTAGCAGATAGTTGGGACTGCGAGGTGGTTTGGGGTACTACGCCTACGGAAACATTTCAAAACAATTGGTTCTTGAACTACTAATCACCATTCAATGACTAGAGGGAGGATACCTGTGTGGAAAGGATTCTGGGAACCCTTGGAGCATAGGCTCGCGGATCCCTGAAGAGACTGATCCTTCGGGTTTTGGGTTCAAACCCCTGGTTTAGGGTTTAGGGCTTGGGGTTTAGGGTTCAGGGTTCAGGGTTCAGGGTTCAGGATTTAGGGTTTAGGGTTTAGGGTTTCGGGTGCTCGGGGCCAGGAGCTGCTGGCGGCAGGTTACGCCGTCATCTTCCTGCATCGGAAAGGCCGAGCCGAGCAGCGGCTGAGGGTTCCCAGTGAAATCTAGAGAACCCAGAACGTAAACCCCGGAGTCCTAGGATCCTAACTTTTAGGGTTTAGGGTTTAGGGTGTAGGGTTTGCCCAGTTGCGCTTAGAATCCCTTGTAAGTAGGGGGTCCTATATGGGGTTCTGGTGTTTGTGGTATGCCGTTATAATATCGTTCTACCCAAGGATTCGCCTAAAGCGGAAGTGCCTTGAGACCTTACCCGGGCAATTAAAGGCATCTTCAAGGGTACGTGATGGGGGTCGACAGCTGCAGAACCAGTAGAGCAGACAAGTCCTCAAGGGCATTGGGGAGTTCTGGGTTTAGATTCCTCATGCCCTCGGACGCCAGCGTGTTGGCTCAAAAGCCGCGAATACCTGCGACACACCTTGCGAACGTACATGCGCACTTCTCCTAGACTCTTCGCGAGGTATCCTGCAGGCACAAAGCGTGATGATAATTTACCCTAAACATGTTTCTTGGTTCCCTACTTACCCACCAGCAGGCACAGGACTCCCTAGCCCCTAAGCCAAAGCCCTACACCCTCAGACTCCTTACTATAAACCCCCAAAAAGGGTATCCCAGTGTCTCCAAGAGAACCTAGAGGGCCCAAAACCCATCTCGGTTCGTTAGCCCTTTGGGCCTTCAACCGCCATGACCGGCGCCGATGAAGACCCGCCGGAGCAGCGCGTGAACCCCTACGATAAGCAGCTGGGACTCGCCATGGCCTTTGTTTAGGGGTTTAGGGTTTAGGTTTGAGGGTTGAGGGTTTCGGGTTTAGGGTTTAGGGTTTAGGGGGGGCTGCCAAAAAAGTCCCAAAGAACAGCGACATGCATGCGAAAACTTTCGTTCGAGCTTGAGAGGTGGGGGTGGAGGCTTGGCTCGCGTCGACCGAGGAAGATCTACACCTATGCTGAGCTCATCCAGCACTACAAGGAGCGGCGTCGGCGCCGTCGTCGACGCTTGAAGGGGAGTGGGAGAGTGGATCCCCAATAAGAATCCCCATCAAGTCCCCATCGCCTCGGAATCGCCCCATCTTCTGGTATATCCCCATGGTAGCAGGAGTAGTATTCTTGACCTGATTAGACTTATATTCACTCCCCCACTGCCCCTTGAGCGCCAGAAAGATGTAGAAGCCTCTTAATCTCAAATGGGAGTTTACAAAACTAAGGGACCCCTGATATAGTCCCAAATATCAGGGTTCCCTTATATTAGGGGACCCCAAAAAGGTACCCACTAATTTCGGAAACGCCCAAGTTCCCATGCCTCCTTGCAGGACCGCTACACCGAGGAGCAGGTCGAGGAGCTATGGCGGACACGCCGCTCGGACCGTGCCAGTGTGGCGCGATGCCTCTGAGAAGCCATGTGGGTAGCTATCGAAGAAATTAGGATCCCTATTGGGAGTCCTTATGTTAAGGGGGCGGTGCCATATAGGAACCCCGAAAAGGGGAACTGTACTAGAGAACTATCGGTGCCAGGCATCCTCAACCCCCATGTCATTTGTGTCCATTGCATGTGTTGATTGGTGTCCTTGAAAGGCCCTTGTTTGTCCGAAGCAAAATCTGGTGTTTCCTTTCGATGTCTTCAACTTGTACCCTAAACCCTTCGACATTAAACCCTACACTTGCCCTAACCCCTCAACCCTCAACCCTAAACCCTCCTACCCCCAAACCCTAAACCCTAAACCCTAAGCCCTAAACCCTAAACCCCAAACCCTAAACCCTAAACCCTAAGCCCTAAACCCTAAACCCTAAACCCTAAACCCTGAACCCTGAACCCTGACCCTGAACCCTGAACCCTGAACCCTGAACCCTGAAACCCTGAACCCTGAACCCTGAACCCTGAACCCTGAACCCTGAACCCTAAACCCTGAACCCTGAACCCTGAACCCTGAACCCTGAACCCTGAACCCTGAACCCTGAACCCTGAACCCTGAACCCTGAACCCTGAACCCCTGAACCCTGAACCCGGGAACTCTCCTTGAGCCCAGGCATGGCAAAGACCCGGCCCCGGCTGCTGCAAGATGCCACGCCGGAGCAGCGCGCGGACCGGGCCTACGTGCTCAAGGCCCGGGTTTTCATAGGGTTTAGGGTTTAGGGTTTGGGGTTTGGGGTTTGGGGTTTGGGGTTTAGGATTTGGGGTCTGGGGTTTAGGGTTTGGGGTTTGGGGTATAGGATTTGGGGCTTAGGGCTCAAGGCCCTCCCTGGGTTAGGTTTTGAGGGACTCCTGGAGTTCGGGGTTAGGGTTTAGGGTTCATAGGGTTTATCGGGTGTATAGGGTGTATAGGGTTTATAGGTTTCATAGGGTTTATAGGGTTTACGCGTTGGGGGAGGTCTTGGGGTTCGGGTTTGGGCTGGTAAGGGAACTCATTCCACGTGAACGCGACAAGGGGGGGCTTAGGGCTTAGGGCTTACGGCTTACATCGGATCCCTACGTAACCCTATGTCCAAAAGGTGCTTGGAAGATCCTGAAACATGCCTGGTAAATCCTCACACAAAAACCTTTGAAGGGTCGTAGGGAACCTAACTCCTTGGTTCCTTCCCCCAAGCCCTGAACCCGCCAGAATTCCTAAACCAAAAACCATAAACCCCAAAACCCTACAATCGCCCCGCAATATCCTTAGAATAGCCCTATAAGAACACTGCAATGACCTTAGTATTCTTTTCATAACCCTAAGGACCCCTAAAACCAACCCTGCAATGGCGGTGTACTATAACCCTACAAGAACCCTAGAATAACCCTAGAATATCCAATAAACCGATAACAACCCCAGAATTATCCCAGAATTCCAATAACCTTAGAGAACCCTAGAATAACGCTAGAAGAACCCTAGAAAAACCCTAGAAGAACCCTGTGACCCTATAATAACCCGACGCGAGGCTGTGCGCCTTCGCGGGCCGGAGCTCCGCCACGCCGCCCCCGAGCTGCGCCGGGACCGCGAGGTGCGCTTCCCCGACCCTTGGGGAGGACCTTAGGCTTGATAGGGTTTAGGGTTTAGGGTTTAGGGTTTAGGGTTTAGGGTTTAGGGTTTAGGGTTTAGGGTTTAGGGTTTAGGGTTTAGGGTTTAGGGTTTAGGGTTTAGGGTTTAGGGTTCAGGGTTCAGGGTTCAGGGTTTGGGGTTCAGGGTTTAGGGATCAGTGTTTAGGGTTTGGAGGATTTAGTAGGGGTTTATGGGGATTAATTACGGGCTTGCAGGTTTAGGGTAAGGAGCAACTTCAGAGTCGAGAAGGGGCAATAAGCTTCCAAGGAAGGTTTTGTGGGCAGGGCCGGAGCCGTAGCTTTGCATGTGCCCTGGAGAGATGGAAGCTCAAACCTCCGAAAAAACCCTAAACCCTCAACCCTAACGCAAGTGGCGATGGTCCATGTGTGGGATCTTTCTACAGCTCCTGTCAGGTGGCCCTGACCGCAGTGGCAGAGGAGACCTTTGAGTGTTTAGGGCTTGAAGAGTTCAGGGTTGCAGCTTCAACCGGTGTGTAGTGAACTTTCCCTTTGCTGGCTTGGAGGGGTTTCTTCGATGTCCTTGCCCTCTGCAAGGCCGGCCCGCACCCAAGAACTCGCAACCCCACAAGCTGCCCCGTGCCCCGCAAGAGGACTGGATCTCCCTCGACTACGTCCCCGATGAGCTGACCTCGGCAAGCCCGGTATGTGAGCTTTGCAATTTTTGGCAGGTCTTGAGGGATGTGGGGTTTTTTGCCAGGTACCGGGCGATGATCCTTCGGTTGTGGTTTGCATGGGGAAAGATCTGGCAACCCTTGTAAAGCATCTCGAAAGCATCTTCCGCAAGCTCCGACACCCCAAGCTCTGTGCAACAGCTCCTTTCCGGGCACAAGACCCTGCTTCCCTGTGCTTGCCGTGTGAGGCACCTCGCATTTCCCACTCCTCTTGCCATTGGGCGAATGTCCCGGTCGCGAGACTGAGGAACCAAATGTCAACCCTCTCCCAAGACCCAGAGCATGAGACCTGTACATCCCTGCCACAATCCACAGTCCATTTTTAAACCAAGGAGTAGGCAGAACGTGATAGAGCCCAGATCAAGGTACCCAATAATTACCCCCAAACCCTAAACCCTAAACCCTAACCCTTCAGTGACAGGACCGCGGGATCATCCTTGAAGGTCTGCGACATGACTGGGAGGCACTTTGGGGTCTAATCTCTGTGGCTTCCCCGCTGCTGGACCTTCAACCCAGCGGGGGGAGACAAGAACCTGCCGTAACACGGCCGACTCCCAAGTCTCCAGCCCCATGAAGTTCAGGAGCATCCAAGCCCAAATGCCCCCAAAAAACCCAAACAAAACACAAAAACAAAAAAATAACAAGCAGCAACCCCGAAGCCCTAAAAGCCCCGAACCTCAAAACAACAAGGACAACGAAAACACTCAAAGCCCCAAAAGTCCGGGAAACCCTTCTGGAGCCTGGAGCCGGGAGAAGGCCATCACCTACGCCTCGGAGGACCTGCAGAGAGACGAGGAGGCTGGGGGTTTCGGGTTTAGGGCTTAGGGCTTAGGTCTTAGGGCTTAGGGTTTAGGATGTGTAGGGTTGAAGGTTTCGGATTTAGGGCTCCAAGAGCGTCTCCTGCTCCGGACATGTCTTGCAAAGCTGCGAAGATCTGAGATCTCACCAGCGGCGAGCTGTTGAAGGTTTGGATGGAGTCTAGGACCCTAGGAGTGCCTGCATGCTGTGTCGTGGGATTTGGGTTTGGGAACCCGTTTTAAAAGATCCTCTAAGGGAATATCTTGGCCACATTGGGAGTCAAGGGGCCCTCTTTAGGGTTATGTCCTTAGGGATCTGAAGCCCTTGACTGCAATGCGCAGTTGGTGGAGTGCCCTGTGCTAAAGTCAGTCCTGTAGGTTCCTGGCAGGAGACGGCATGAGAAGAGCTGGAGTCCTCGTAACGGGGACTCCTAGAAATTACCCAGGAGTGCAGGACTGTTGGGGTTTCTGCGTCGTAGGGCTCACGGGTTCCACTTAAGTCAGCTGCTCCTCCAGGTGGTCATCGCGGCCTTGGGCCAGTCCATCATGGCCTTGAAGACCATCCCGGAGGCTCTTTGAGAGGGGTTTAGGGTTTAGGGTTTATAAGGTTTAGGGTTTCGGGTTTAGGGTTTAGGGTTTAGGGTTTAGGGTTTAGGGTTTAGGGTTTTGTTGTGTTTTGCTGTTTTCAGGGAGGGGATTTGGGAGCAAGCTGAAGCCCCAAACCCCAAAACCGCAAAGTGTGTGTTGGGTTGGGGGGAGGAGGGGGGAGTCCTCCAAAGCCTATAGGCCTGAAGCCGATTTTGAGAGGGTTTTGGGTTTTCGGGGCTCAGCTTTTGTCGTCTCTGTGTGCTCCGAGTACCAACAGCTACAAGGTCGGCCTCCCTAAATCCTTCGCATGGTCTGCGGCCCACCGGGCCGCACTTTAGAGATGCTTAGCGTTTAAGGTAGACGGGGATTCTCACGCGCTTGCTTTGGAGATGGGGCTGAGCCATGTCCTTGGGAACCAAATGAGCCCAAAACAGGTTCTTGGTGCATAATGTCTGAATCGGGGTTGATAGTAGAAAAGGTTATATGGCCCCAATTTGAGGGTTCACTTGGGGACATATATCCGAAAAGGGGGCGCCAGTAATTAGCATAATTCAGCTTTATTTCCCCCCCAATCTTAGGGTTCAGTTCATGTGGTCCCCAAGGGATGCGTCTACCTGGGCAGGCTCTCTGGACCCAGCCGGCCGTGCGCGCCGCGATCGTGGCGGCCGCGCGGCGGGATCCGGAGCCCCTCCGCTTCTGCCCTGAGGCTGGTGTCAGGACGGGGTGTAGGGTTATAGGGTTAGAGGCTTATCTTCTAGGGCAGCTTAGTTGGGGATTATAGGGTCTAACCGGAAAAGCTTAGGGTCTTTAGGGTTTAGGTTCCTTCGATCAGCGCCGGGGGAGGGCTTGCAAGAGCCGGAGACTTGGCAGAGCTCCCAAGACCCTACAAACAAACCCCTTAACAAGCCCTTTGCAGGGTTGATTATGGGGATTTTTTCAGGCCTAGTACCTGGGAGCAACCCCAAGACCCTACAAACAAGTCCCTTAACAAGCCCTTTGCAGGGTTGATTATGGGGCTTTTTGCAGGCCAAATACCTGAAAAGCAGCAAAAATGTTACTTTTTTCTTTTTGTTTATATATATATATATATATAATAAACAGCACTGTTAGCTTTAAGGGAGCAACTCGGAAGGCCATCCGAAGAGAGCCCGACGTCATGCTCGAGGCGCTGCTTCTTCTGGGATTTCTGAGATGCAAGGTGCTCAAAGACCCTCAGCCCAACTCGCAAGAACGCTTTACACCCCAAACTGGAGTCACCCTAAGCCCTCAGCCCTAAACCCCAAATCCTAAACCCGAAACCTTAAATCCTAAATCCTGAACCCTAAACCCTAATCCCTACCACTTCCATCTGCCCCCTTTGAAGGCAGTGAAGGCACAGCCGAAGTTTGCCACTGAGGCCAACCCCTGCCTCATTCAGGACCTTCACCCACCAACAGCTTCGATTTCTACCTCTTCGGGGGGTTCAGGGTTTATCCGGTTTAGGGAGCTTACCTGGGACCCTCTTTACCTAGTTTTATGGGTTTATGTCTACGAATTAAGGCTAGTTACTACTAAGCTGTAGGTAAATAGAGTCCCAGGTCGATTTTAAGCTGTCTTAGTAGCTGAGTAGGTAACCCTAAACCGTTTGGGGTATGTACAATCCCACCAGAATTGAAAGGTTCACCTTTTTCGGCCCAGGGTACTCAGCAACTAGGCTGTAGGCCGAATGAAAGGGTTCAGGGTTTGGCCTTGCACCGACTCGCCCCCGCCCTCAGGATGCCCCCGATGTTGTCAACAAAGTGTTTTCTGGAACCTGCTAGTGTTCAAGTTGGGGAAACTGAGATGAAAGAAGGTGATCTTTAACTCCCGAGCTTCTTCGCAAAGCACTTGGTTTCGGAGGACCGGCAGTTCGTCCTATCTGCGGCCGGCCACTCAGCTTTTGGGGCTTCGCATGAACAGGGGACCCCCAAATTTCAAAAAAGACCCATATGCTGGATGATGCTGGCCACCGGATCACCGGGTCTCATTGCAGCCAGCGCCTGGCAGAAGTCGCACAAAATCGCTGAACTCAACTCGAATCCTTGGCTTAGAAAGCCCCGCTATATTGGGTCCTGCGGGGCGGGGGCTTGTCTGCAGAGTCCAGAGTTCAAAAGTTTAGGGGTAGCCCATAAGTGGCTTCCACCCTTCAATCGGGATACGGGACAGTGGTTCGGGGTTTTGAAACCCCGCCACCCACGTCATGCCAAAGACATCCCAGAAGCTGTTGCATACCTACAACAGAAATACTCCATATTAGGGGGTGTGTGTGGGGGGGGCGAAGCGCTTTCTGAATCCACCCGTATAAGCCTGAAGGTCCGTGGGAACTGGGAGGTGCTCGAGTGCCTCCCACAGAAGTACACCAACGACCGGGAGGCGGGAGAATTTCAGGGGCTTAGGGCTTTTTTGGGCTGCTTGCGGGGTGGACTTCGAAACTCCCAGGAAGCAAAGATCTCCTGAAACGAGAAATCGAAAGGAAACGAGCCCCGAAACGCCCCTAAGCCCCGGGCACCCTCAACCCTAAACCCTAAACCCTAAACCCTAAACCCTAAACGATCAACCCTAAACCCTGGACCTTGAATCCTGGACTCTTAGCCCCGACACATGCAGGACAGTTTTACCAGCCAAGAGGCGTCCCACGAAAGAACCATGCAATCGGCATCTGCAGCGCGAGGCTCCACAGGTTACGTATGTTGTAGGAAGAGCCTTTCAATGTCGACTGCTGCCTGTTTTGCAGTGCTACCTGCTCAGCGCAAGTTGCTGAACGCCATGGCCAAGATGCTGATGCGTCGGCGAAGGTGGTGGTTCTTCTGTTGGCTATTGGCACTCGGGCTGCTGACCAGCCAGCAGTATCATTCCGGGTTCTTGCCGTCCCCCCGCACAAGCTGGAAGCCGAACCACTGCGCAGGCAGGGCAGCGCGAAACGAGGAGCATCTTCGTGTTAGTTCTTCCCAGAAGAAGCAGGCCGACAAAGGCGTGTCTGCCAAAGAAGCAGCATTCCTGTGGAGAAGTGAAGCCGGCTGGTTCAGGGCGCTGCAGATCCTGGAGCGCTATGGTGACCAGTACGATGTCAGCCGCATGGACGAGGCCTGGTGGAAAGCCCGCGTGAAAGATCGTACCTCGAAGCTGGATGTGACGTGTCGCCACTGCGGCCATCGCTCCCGCAGCACGTCTCTGGACAGCCTGCAGCAAGGCACGACTCCTGGCTGTTTCTGCAATGGCGCAGTGCCTTGGTCCAGCCCGGCAGGGCGTGCTCGATGTCTGCAAATGATCTGGGAGCGCTTTGGTGACCAGTACGATGTCAGGCGAATGGAAGAGGCCTGGTGGAAAGCCCACGTGAAAGATCAGAAGTCGAAGCTGGATGTGACGTGTCGCCACTGCGGCCATCGCTCCCGCACCACGAGACTTGGCCACCTGCAGCAAGGCCAATCTCCTGGCTGTTTCTGCAATGGCGGCGTGCCTTGGACCAGCCCGGCAGGGCGTGCTCGATGTCTGGACATGATCTGGGAGCGCTATGGCGGCCAGTACGATGTCAGGCGCATGGACGAAGCCTGGTGGAAAGCCCACGTGAAAGGCGCTGCCTCGAAGCTGGATGTGACGTGTCGCCACTGCGGCCATCGCTCCCGCAGCACGAAACTGAACCACCTGCAGACAGGCCATGCTCCCGGCTGTTTTTGCAATGGTGGCGTGCCTTGGTCCAGTCCGGCAGGGCGTTCTCGATGTCTGGAGATGATCGGGGAGCGTTACGGTGACCAGTATGATGCCAGCCACATGGACGAAGCCTGGTGGAAAGCCCACGTGAAAGATCAGAAGTCGAAGCTGGATGTGACGTGTCGCCACTGTGGCCATCGCTCCCGCAGCACGAAACTGAACCACCTGCAGCAAGGCCAATCTCCTGGCTGTTTATGTTCAAGAAAGACCGAAGGAAAGCTGATGCGGTGGTTGGCCCAGAACTTCTCGCAGTTTGACGTCACCTCGCAGGTCGGGGGCTGCACGAGCCCGGCGTCGAATCGCACTTTGCCTTTCGACTTTGGCATCAACAACGACACCATTCTCATCGAGCTGGATGGCAACATTGGGCATTTTGGGCTCGGGTGGGGTGGATCTGACGATGATCGAGGCGTGCCGCAAAGAGACCACTTCAAGGAGGAGTGGGCGCTGCGGAATGGCAAGACTGTGGTTCGGCTGCTTCAAGAAGATGTGTACGGCGACTCCTGGGACTGGAAAGGTTTCCTTTCGTCCGCCATCCAGCACTCAATTCGGAATTCACCTCCATGTGTGATCACACAGGATGCAACACAGTACAAGAGCGGAATCTACCGTGAGCTTCGTGGCATTCGCTGCCAGGTTGGCTACTTCCAATCGAACCACGGTGTTCCGATCCCGTATCTGACACGACTGCAAAGCCATGGGGTCTGTTTCATCCCTGGAGGCTTCAGAAAAACCAAAGTCTACTGCTTTCTAGTAGATCTCGCATGCTAGAATATATATATATATATATATAGGTACCCCACGAAAGCAGGAAGGTTCCGGGTGTTCAAAACGGAGAACGTCAACAACCAAGGCGCGGGTCCAAAGTCCTCTTCGTGGGATCTCCTCCGCCCACCACCCAAGACGAGCAAAGCTCCCTGCTTTTTTTTTGTTGGCGGCCTAGTGGTGCCCCTTTCCCTTTTTTGGTTCAAGGATCCCTTATAAAGTAGCCAAGGTAACCAACCCAAGAACGTGTGCCCTTATTGCAATATGGTTACTGGGCTACTCGGTTCCGTGGAGGATGAAATCAACACGAAACCCCTAATGCACCCGCTCCAAAAGAACTCCTTAATGAACAAAAGCCTATGTAAACCTCAAACACACTAAACCCTCAATGCATGACCCTAAACCCTAAACCCTAAACCCCAAACCCTAAACCCTAAACAAGAAAGGGCCTGAGCCCTCAAGGTGGTGTCGGCGGCGGTGAGCCAAAGCCCCTACTCCCTTCGCTTGGCCAGCATGGTGGCGCGCTCGGTTTTGGGGGCTTTGACAATTTGAGGCTTTAGGCGTAGGGCTCTAAAATATGCACATCATGTAATGATAGAATGGCATATTTAATAACCGAGGGGTTGTCAGGGTTTGAGGGTTCTTGAGCGATTGAAGGCTTGTCCAAACCAGAAGCTTTCAAGGAGGTTTCAGGTTAGGCTTTAGGCTTTATAGGGTTTATAGGGTTTAGGGGTTAGGATGGTTTGGGGTCTAGGGTTTAGGGTTTGGGGTTTAGGGTAAAGGGTCTAGGGTTTAGGATGGTTTAGGGTTTAGGGTTTAGCGTTCAGGGGTTAGGGTTTAGGGTTTAGGGTTTAGGATGGTTAAGGGTTTAGGGTTTTAGGGTTTTGGGGTAGGGGGCCCACTCTCTGGAGGAGCTCCGTGGAGATCGGGCGCTGGTGCTGGACTGCGTTCGCCAGGCCGGCGTAGCCCTGCGAACCACAGACGCAGAAGTGCAAGAGTGTTGGACTGCCCATCCACCGATAGTTGAGGGACTTGAGCTTAGCATCGACCGCGGGGGACAGCTTAGTCTTATGCCACTGGACTATATTATATTATCATATTATATATTATATTATAGTATATTATGTTATATTATATCATATTCTACTATATTATATCATATTCCATTATTTTATATTATCTTATGTTATATTATATTTTTCATATACACACATATATGCGGTAGAAGCCACAATGGCCGATGCCGACGCACCTCCCGCTGCGCCGCACGCTGCACCTCCCGATGCGCCTCCCGATCATGATGCCCACAAGTACCTAAGCAGGCCCTTGGGACATTTTCTATTTTGCCTTATTGGTTTTTTAGGAGAATTATATTTAGGAATCTTTTTACAGAATGAGGTACCCTGTATAATCCCTTAAAGGGTGTCTTTAGGGGGATACTAGGGTACCTTCTTCCCCCATTCCCTAGTAACCCTAAACCCTAAACCCTACTAACCTTAAACTGCCCTAAACCCTAAACCCTAAACCCTAAACCCTAAACCCTAAACCCTAAACCCTAAAACCCTAAACCCTAAACCTAAACCCTAAACCGAACCTGTCAGAGGGCTTTGAGGGCCATCCTAGGTACCCTGCTAACCCTAAACCCTAAACCCTAAACCCTAAACCCTAAACCCTAAACACTAAGCAACAGCAAGGTACGTGTCGGCCGGTGGGCAGGTCCGGGCCTTCATCAAGGCCTCCTCGCCACTGAAGGTGGCTTTTCAGGTGAGCACGAGCCAGGCGGGTTTAGGGTTTAGGGTTTAGGGTTTGGGGTTTGGGGTTTGGGGTTTGGGGTTTGGGGTTTGGGGTTTAGGGTTTAGGGTTTAGGGTTTGGGGTTTGGGGTTTGGGGGTTTAGGCTTCAGGGTTTTGGGTTTAGGGTTAGGAAGGAATGGGGGAATAAGGTACCCTACATCCTCCTATAATATACCCTTTTAGGGGTTCTGTAGGGTACCTCATTCCCCATGCTAGCCGACAGTAAGAGGCAGGAAGCGTGGAGGAGGCCTTGCGCATCTGCCGGATCTGCTACGTGCACCTGGCGGATGGGAAGCCAAAAGAAGAGGCCTCTTGGGGACTAAATGAACCCTAAAAGGGTTTTTGGTTCTCTACCGCAAAAGGGAGGTTTAGTAAACCCTAAACCTAAACCCTAAACCCTAAACCCTAAACCCTAAACCCTACACCCTAAACCCTAAACCCTAAACCCTAAAACCCTAAACCCTAAACCCTAAACCCAATCTTAGGGTTCCTAATTGGTCCCCAAGGTCAGCAAGATCAAGAAGCGAATGCTTGGGCTGCCAAGCAAGCCCCAAGGCCCCTTGCTACCTACAAGCAACATTTCGGGTGGTTTCCGAAGTTAGGGGGTACCTTTTTTGGGGTCCTTACCGTAGGGATCCTACGAAAAACATAAGGAATCCCTTGTTCTAGGGTTTTCCGAAGTTAGGGGGTACCTTTATTGGGGTCCTTTATCATATGGGGATCCTACTATATTTGGGGGTCTATTTTTTGGGGTCCCTTATATTCTGCTTGAGCTCTAAAATAGCACGTTCAGCTCGCCCTGCGCAACCCTCTGCAAGCTGTAGAAGCACGCCTTCACAACAAACCCAGGAAACAGAATACAGGGGCCGTAAGAATTATGATAACGTTTTTGTTTGGGTGATTTTGGTATGGAGTATATAGGGACCTTAAAGGGAATACCATGAGTACTTGTTCCGACCCCCATATTTTACGCTACTTGCATTTTGGCAATCGCAGCTGAAAGCCTCGTAAGGAGCCCGGCGCGCGGGCGCAGGCAGGAAGAGGCCCTTGGCGCCGCAACCGCAGCCCGAGGGAGACCCCCCCGGCGCCCCGGGCAGCCTGGCAGAATGAAGGCCCTAAACCCTAAACCCCAAACCCTAAACCCCACTTGGAGGTTCATGCTACTTATTAACCAATTATAACCGTACTTATAACCTACGGTAAGAAGTACAGTTCTACGTACAGTTATACTTGGTGAATAAGTACCATGAACCTCCAAGCAAACCCTAAACCCCAAACCCTACTCATCCTTATTCCCTCGGGCTGCACTTGCGAGACCTCCGAGGTGGCCCCGCAGAGGCCAAAGAAGAGCCCGCAGAGCCTCCCCCTCCTCCTCCTGCGCCAGCTGCGTCAGCTGTGTTCGACCCCTGGGCTGTTTAGGGTCTAGGGGTTTAGGGGTTTAGGGGTTCAGGGCTCAGGGTTCAGGGGTTTAGGGTTTAGGGGTTAGGGGTTTGGGGCTTAGGGTTTTGGGTTCCAGGTTGCAGAGTTTCGGGTTCAGGGCTGAGGTTTCGGGTTCAGGGCTTAGGGTTGGAGAGGATTATGGCTTCGGGTTTCGTGGTCTAAGGATTATAGGGTTTTGGAATCGGCTGCGGTTGAGTTTAGGGTTTAGGGTCTGGGGTCTTGGGGGCAGTCTTCCCCCCTGAGTTCAATTTCCGTCGCAGCCTCCCTCATTCCTGACCCTAAACCCTAAACCCTAAACCCGAAACCCTAAACCCTAAACCCTAAACCGACAAGCCCTTGAGCCCGCGGTTCTCTCTTCCTCGATTCTTCGTAGAAAGGGGGGGTGGATTTTGGGGACCAGATGAAACCTACACGTGGGGTCATGTAATTACTAGAAGCCGTTACAAGCCCTGTGAAGGTATGTGAACCATGAACTCTTGTAGGGTTGTTTTTGATCCCCAAGGGAGAGGAGGGACTGGGACAGGAAGACTTGGGAGGTGAGAGCAGACAGAGAGCGAGATCTGTGCTCCTCCCTGGCGTCGCGTCTGCGGTGTCCTAGGAACGGCCTTCCCAGGGGCAAGTCCTGCATGTGGAAGCAGTGCTGAAGGACCCTGGGTTCAAACCTCAAACATGGCTTGGCGAGTTCGGATAGTGGTTCCGACTTTGTTTGCGCTCGCACGTACTTCCATAGAAGGGCAATCAATCTGGGTCTTGGGGCGCTTCTCATGGAGAGCTCACGCTCGAGCCGTGCTTTCGGAACAAGACAAGGGGTTGTAGTAAGCAGAGGTCAATCATGCCGTGGTGCATCGGTCCTAAACCCTAAGCCCTGGCCCTAAGCCCTAAGCCCTAAGCCCTGGACCCTAAACCCTAAACCCTAAACCCTAAACCCTAAACCCTAAACCCTAAACCGCGTAAGTTAGCGTAAGCCCCTCGAGGACTTCGACGAGTCCACGATCTCAGAAGAGAACCTCGGCATCGAGAGCGGCTACAGAAGCCGGGTGCCTTGGGGACCACATATGAACCCTAAAATTGGGTCTATAGGTTTTAGAGTTTATAGGATTTAGGGTTTAGGGTTTACGGTCTAATGTGCCCTGTACTACTTTAATTCCGATTAAGGTATATGAACCCTAAGATTGGGGTCATCTATCTACCCTATACTACGACAATTCCGATTAAGGTACATGAACCCTAAACCCCCTAAAACCTAAAACCTAAACCCTGAACCCGTATATGAACCATTATCAGCCACAAAACCCTTTTAGCTTTCATTTTTAGTCCCGAAGGTGGGCCTCCCTTTCGACTGCCCGATCCGCCCAGAGCGGCGCGAAGAGTATGAGTTCATCATTGACACGGTCGGCAGGACGGACTCCCTGAAGTTCTCGCAGTTCTTCCACGAGGCCAGGATGATCCCCAAAAATTGGGCTTAGGGTTTAGGGTTTAGGGTTTAGGGTTTCGAGTTTAGGGTTTAGGGTTTCGAGTTTAGGGTTTAGGGTTTAGGGTTCAGGCTTCAGGCTTCAGGGTTTAGGGTTTAGGGTTTAGGGTTTGGGGTTCAGGGCTTAGGGTTTGAGGGGCTTCCACGAGGCCAAGCCTTTGGCGCCCTGGGACAAAGAGAGAAACTGCGACCTCTGCAACTTTGTCATCGTTGGGCAACACTTTACATGTTAGGGGTACTGAAACCCAGTAAGGAATAAGAATATGAATTATTTATCATAATCCCAACCATGAACTAGGTAAAAACCCAATAAGGAATAAGAATATGAATTGTTTGTCATAATCCCGACCATGAACTAGGTAACTCCAACTGCCGCAGCCAGCTCTTCTTGCTGCGCTGCTTTCACCGACACGGCAAGGGGCCACTGCGTCTCTAGGCACACCTCTTGTCAACCTTCCCTTGATTTTCGTTGTGCTTAAGAACATCTTCTTTCTGGCTTCTTGGGCTTGTTTTAGGGTTTAGGGTTCAGGGTTTAGGGTTTAGGGTTTAGGGTTTACGTAGGGTTTAGGGTAATTAGGGTTTAGGGATTTCATTTCCGAGCATTTTTCTGGTGAGTGCGGGGTGTAAGCGGGCCAGCCTAGGTTTGGACAAGGCGCTGATCTACGCGGGGCCGGAGTGCAGCAAAGCACTGCTTCGAGACCGGAAGCGGTCCTTGGTCCAAGCGTAGGCAATTTTTTCTAAGTTAATTTCATAGGTTTTCTTTTTCTATGTTTTTTTCAACAAATCTAAGTTAATTTCATAGGTATTCTATTTCTATGGTTTTTTTCTACATATTTTAGCAATTCCATTGCACCCAAGATTAGGGACTGCTTTGTAAGGGCTGTTGTCGCACTCTTTTGGTCCCAAAAGGGAATCCCCGAAACAGACCCCCAAAATGCGATCATCTCTTATGCCCCCCCACCCAAAACAAGAAGTAGACCCCAAATTCTCACAGCCTAGTCAGAACCCCAAATTCTCACAGCCTAGTCAGAATCCCGCCCCCGCCCCCCCCCCCCCCCACCCCCCATCTTGTCACCCAGGTCCAGGATGAAAACCCTGCGTGAGTTGGAGGAGACGCTGCGGATCAAACTGCAGAAGCTCGACTGCACATCAGGTACATGTTGGGTCTTCTTCCGTAGAAGGCAACCCTGTAAGGCTTACCTGGGACCCTCTTTACCTACAGGTTTAAGGGTCATACTTACTAACTAAGGGTA